TTGTGTTGTTGTTGTGTTGTTGTTGTGTTGTTGTGTTGTCGTTGTGTTGTTGTTGTGTTGTCGTTGTGTTGTTGTTGTGTTGTTGTTGTGTTGTCGTTGTGTTGTCGTTGTGTTGTTGTTGTGTTGTTGTTGTGTTGTCGTGTTGTTGTTGTGTTGTTGTTGTGTTGTTGTTGTGTTGTCGTTGTGTTGTTGTTGTGTTGTTGTTGTGTTGTCGTTGTGTTGTTATTGTGTTGTTGTTGTGTTGCTCACCTCTCTGGAACCTGTAGCAGAGCTCAGACTGTCTCATTGTGTTGTCATTGTGTTGTTGTTGTGTTGTTATTGTGTTGTCATTGTGTTGTTTTTGTGTAGTTGTGTTGCTCACCTCTCTGGAAGGCGCAGCAGAGCTCCGGCCTGCAGTCGCTCTGACTCTGACAGATGGTTCCTTCGGTTCCTCTGGTTGCGTTGACGGTACACTGACCCCAAACACACAGCTGATCTGAGCAGCACTCCTCGTCCTTCGTGCACGGCTGCAGGGACACACAAACTCACATATGCAAACACGTATGGAAAACACACAACGCAGCTCCGTTTGTGTTACCGCAGCAACAGTAACTTTTACCAGGAATCAAACACACTCGTGATAAATAAGAAATATGATGTGACAGCTTATTATGTGATAACTTATTCTTCCAAAGGTAGCGGAGGGTGGAAGAATTCTAACCCCACAAAATGACACAAAACTCCAGATCCAGGCACTGAAGGTGAGTATGAAAGTCAAAGGCTTTTATTCTGACAGTCATGAGGATGCACCTTCAAAGAATCCCCTGCAGGAATATTAAAGGTTTTATCTTATCTGACAAACAGTCTCTGATATAAATCACCTTAGAATCTCAGTTTAACGTTCATTCTTTCTTGTTTTTAGCTCGTTTTTGGTCTCCACCACCTGCGAGTGGGAAACCTATGTTGTTCTGTAGCAGCTAAACGTCAAACTACCAGCTTCCAGTCTGAGCTTTCTGTGGCTGGAAATGGGTTTTAAGAAAGTGATAAACTCTAAACAAGGAGCTGAACTTTGCAGCGTGAGGTTTGTCTTCAGTATAATAAAATGTTCACGCTCTAAATAACCACAGAGCATGAATCCTCACCATGTCCGTCGGTATACACGGGAGACACTTGGAGTTCTCGATTTCATACAGGCAGTATCTGAGGTCGCCACAGTCCTCATCCACCATACACTCCTGTAAAACAGAGACATGACAACTCTTACATCCTGTCTGGTTAAATTCACACTGAAACATGCTGCAAGTCGGTCAGATGGGATCAGACCACGTTCTGTTGTTCATCGTGTCAGAAATAAAAATCATCATAAGATCCAGGAGCTTCCTGTGAAGTGTGAAAACCAGTTGTATTTTGTTTGCTGTTGGTTGTTGTTTGGTGCTGCAGATGTAGTTTTAGTGGTAAAGTGTTCCTCTGGTACATCAAGAACTCAGGCGCTTTAGTCGACGGTTGCAGTTTGTTTTGCTCGATCCAGTTTCAGCAGAACCATCTGATCCTCTCATTAGACTCAGACACTACAGCACGAAAGTCTGAGGAGCTCAGTAAAGATCTGGAGAAGAACATCAGTGACTAGAACCAGTCAGAAAGTCACTTGGAGCCGTTTCAGAGCAGCTTCAGATGAAGAAGGAAGTTCTTCCTCTAGAAGCCGAACCTTAAAGCTCCACTGAAGTCTGCTGCTGGTCACATGGACAAAGAAAAGGCCTTCTGGAGGAAAGTTCTGGTCAGATGGAACAAACACTGAGCAGAACCATGTCTGGAGGAGAGAAGGTGAGGCCTTTAACCCCAAGAACACCAAACCTACCATCAGGCATGGAGGTGGCAGCATCATGCTCTGGTTCTGTTCTGCTGTAGATGGACCAATGAAGAAGGAGGATCAGCTCCACGTTGTTCAGGAAAACCTGAAACCATCAGCAGATGGTTGATCTTGGACACAGTTGGATGTTCCAACCAGACAATGAGCCCAAACACACATCAAAGTGGTGAAGAAATGGTTCCATCAGGCTGGAATGAAGGTTCTAGACTGGTCTCCCCAAAGTCCTGACTGGAACCATCCAGAACCTGTGGACTGATGAAGGAACAAGTCTGAGTCAGAAAGACGACGAGTTTAGTTGAACTGCAGCGGTTCTGTCCAGAGGAGTCAGAGATGGACCAGAAGAACCTGATATTAGTGTTTCTGTGCGTACATTTATGATCCAACGATTTCGTCGTACTTCCAGACGACCTTTAACGCCTCGAAAACCGATAAAAGTCAAGACACGGAAAACAAACTGTTGATGAATCTGCGGCTGCACATCAATCTAAGACTCTCATGATTCTCCTCAGTAGAGTTTAATTCATCCGAGGGCACGTTACTTCCCTCCCGATGACGTCGGTTTGATGGTTTCCTCCGTCGCCATGGAAACTGTGTGATGGACATCGGTGAGTTGAACAGAAGAGCTGCAGCTCGCAAAGTCTGAGTTCTTCACCTAAAAGCTCCGAAATAACTCAAGCAAGACGTAAAGAAGCGAGTGTCTGTGCCTCCTTTGTGACTCTCAGAGCGAGACGTGGTTTGAGACGAAGTGTTTGCTGCAGCTGTCGGACTCCATCATCACAGCGCTGCAGGTTTGTTTGGTCGGCCGTCGAATACACGACGCAGCAGAATGATTCATATCACACAGGAAGGGCGGGTTTTTCCTGCAGCACGGATCTGTAGCTGTTGATGCTAATGAGATATTTGAGCTTCAGTCGGAGTCCTTTCCAGGGTTCAGAGGAAACTGCTGGTGCCAAAAACAGCAGTGAACACTTTGGTGGGTTCCTTTGTTGTGTTGTTGGACTCTTTATCTTCACGCTGCCTGAGCAGAACCGGAGCGAAGAGCCAGAAGCATGAATCACCGAGTCCGTCTGCAGCCACAAACCCAGATGTGTTTGTCATGAAACAGCAGGACTCACAGTGATACACACTGAAACACATTTACTGCATCTGTTCCCCCGTCATTAGTTCCTGAATCCATCAAGCGCAGTCTGTTACAAGAACGACAACAACAAGGATCTGGCAGCGAAAGAAAAAAAAAGAAAGGCGTACTGTAGCTGTTAAAAACTATACACAGAGTAAAAATAAAGGAAAATATCTGTAAAATATTCATGTTTTAGCAGATTTAAATACAGTAAAAGAAAAAAGTGCACTTTTACAGTCAGATGTTCTTAAAGAAGGATTTGTAAGAAAAATAAAGTAAAATATTTTGATCTGGATAATATTACAATAGATTGTTTTCACAATGAGCACCTTATAAACTAATATGTTTTCCGTGATTTTACAAATTTAATGGTGGAAAAAAATAAATCCTTAAAATTTATGATTTTTCTTAT